ACACTCAGGGCAGGGCCGATGGGGAGGTTATGGCTCTACCCCGTCACACACAGAGCAGGGCCCGTGGGGGGGGGGGGGGGTTGGGGCGCCACCCCCTGTCACACACAGAGCAGGGCCGATCAGGGGGTTGGGATGCCACACCCTGTCACACACAGAGCCGCAGGGCGATCAGGGGGTTTGGGCGCTGCACCCTGTCATGCTGATCTGGTGCCAGGAGGCCTCTCGGCTCCGCTGATCCCGGTGCTGGGAGGCATATTACCCTTTTACTATATAGGATAGAGGCCTGGGGGCCGGCTGGTTTGCCCTGAAGGGTGTTCTGGATCAGGGTGGGGGTCCCCACTGGGGTGCCTGGCCAGCCTGGATGAGGAGATGATGGCTGTTTGCAGCTGGTCACACACCCTTCAGGGTGGGGGTCCCCACTGGAGTGCCTGGCCAGTCTGGGTGAGGGGCTGAGGGCTGCTTTCAGGCTGGCAGTTGTTGACGGAAGCTCCCAACCGCTCCTTTTTTTCTTTTTTTTTTTTCTTCTGGGCCAGCTTTAGCTCTGGCTCTAGCTCTGAGGCTTCCGCTGCTGGTTTGTTTGCCGTTCTATAATCGAAACAATGTATAACTTCAGCTCTGAGATCCCAGCCGGCTATATTTGTTAGAATGTTTCAAACTGCCAGCTCAGAGGCCGGCAAGTCAGGCGGGGAACGTTGGAGTCTGCAGTCACTGCAGCAAGCAAGCCTCATGTTCGCTTCCAGCTGCCTGGCTGCCGGCCGCCATCTTGGCTGACAGTTAATTTGCATAAGGATATGCTGATTAGCCAATGGGAAGGGTAGCGGTCGTACGCCAATTACCATTTTTCTCTTTTATTAGTGTAGACTAGAGGCCCGGTGCACGAATTCATGCACAGGTAGGGTCCGGCCGGCCCACCCTGGCCAGGGATAGGGGCTGCGGGCGGTTGGCTGGCCCCGCTCCCTGGTCGATCTCCCAGTTGAACTCCCGGTTGAGGGGACAATTTGCATATTAGCCTTTTATTATATAAGATAATTACAAACAGTGCATATGCTGTAACAAAAAAAAATGTTTTTCTTGAATTCTACAAAGCTGCCTTAGTATTCCCAAGGTCATTGCTTCCCTTGGAGGTTAAGGTTTAGAATTCTGTAAAAGGAAATGAGAACAGTTTGTCACCTGCATATGCCATAGTATAGAACTGTTTTTAATAGATTAAAGCACACCCTAGTCCACCACAGTTAGCAGTCATTGATATCAAGAATTATGTCATCAATGCAGTAATCCCTTTCTCCAGGTCTCTTATGTTTTCTTAAATTGGAGAGAGAGAGAGAGAGAGAGAGAGAGAGAGAGAGAGAGAGAGAGAGAGAGAGAAACAAACATCGATTAGAGAGAAAAGGTCTCTTTAATATCACTTAGATATCTCAGTTTTCCTCTTTTCTAGAATCAGGAACCTCATTTACAAATTACTCCTTTCTTTTTCTTCCTCCTCCTCCCCTAAGTTTCCTGAAGGAAGTGGTTGGTTTTGGTGTGAGTCTTGTGTAGCTATGGAGAGATTGGATTTAGGAAAAGGTATAGCAGGAATTCTTACCTTCTCCAAGGTCAGCTATTTGATTCTAGTATTTCAGCTGAATAGTTCAAAACCATTTTCCTTTTCCTGGAATTCCAGGAGTGACTGATCTGAAAGTGTTGACCTAAACTTTAGGACCTCAGCTCCATTGTGGGTTGATAAATAGAAACTAAATTATCTTTATCCCAAGTTCATCGAAAGATCTAGTGAAACAACTGCAATACATTTTCATCTCTTAGCTCATTTTAGATTATCAGTTGCCTGTAAGCAGATTACCACTTTGGCTCTTTAGACTTCCCTTCAGCTACCCATCAATGTCCAAAGTCATTGACTGAACCTAGAAGGATTTAAAATCAAGCACAGAATATTATGATGCTTCTCTCTGCATATGGCTAACTATATTCCAAAGGCAGATATGATGGATTATTGAACAGTTTGTTTGGCATTATTCATGTGCTCATTCTGTTAATACAAAAAGTTGAGGATTGATTACATTTTTTACTTGACTCCCCTCTCTCCAGTTAAGAGGAACTGAGTTTAAGGTTACTTTTGGGATCTTTAATAGACTTAAACATTAACAGGACATCCATCCTCTGTTGGTGTTGGAATGCTATTTTCTTTGCAGCTTTGGATAAAAAGAAAAGAATTGTAGCTATAGTTTGTCATGTTATCTTTTACCAGCTTCTTTGAACATAGGACTAGCTAATAGCTTTTCATATTCATGATAAGAGAAACTTAAGCATTTCCAGGTTACATAATTATTGACAGAGAAGCTGAAACATGGAGTAGGGGCTCTGGCAAGGAATAACTATTGGACAGAGGGGTTGTAGCTGAAAGAAACCCATAATGAGCTTCTTTTTTAAAAGGGTGATATACGTTGTATTGAATTGTACTAACTCCTCTTTTATCTCAGTGCCTTTGGAAAATGTGGTTTTCTTCATAAACAGATTTTCCAAATAACTGAAACTTACAAGTGGACCAAGAGTGCTAGAACCAGAAGGACCTAGAAATTATTTATCCCAGCCTCTTTTTACAGATGGGGAAGGCTGAGCACAGAGAGGAAAGTGACTTACCCAGCTACTTGGCAATAAAAGGGGATTCAGAGAAGTGTTGTTTGTTTGTTTCTTTTCTTTTCTTTTCTTTTCTTTTCTTTTCTTTTCTTTTCTTTTCTTTTCTTTTCTTTTCTTTTCTTTTCTTTTCTTTTTTCTTTTTCATGAACATGCCATGCTGCCTCCCCCTTTACATATTCAAAAGTTGAATTTTTCATCTTGTGTGGAGTTCTTTCTAAAACATAAGGCATTCTTGCCTTTCTCAGTAGATGACACTGTTGTCTCAGGATCATTATTATGAACACATGTTAATTGTGCTCAGATTCTCCCATGACCTTTTGATGTATGGACAGCTTTTAATCCCGCATTAAAACACTTGGAGTGTTAGAGAGATTTTGTGTTTTTGTGCCAATTTTTATAGTGTTTTTTTTCCCCTCTTCTCTTTGATGCCAGCTGTCACTCTTTAGTGTTGTTTGTTTTATAGGATTTTATGTAACCTTTGAGGCATTTTTTGCTTTCTTTTCGTGGTGCCATGAAAAGCTAAGATTGTTGAATAAATGAGGAATTAGTATTCTTGGTCATCTTTGGATGAACTGTAAAAACTTGAGGGCTCTTTTATTAGATACTGGAGCCTGAAAATACTAGAAATCATGCTAGTGTAACTTGTCTTCATTTCTCATCTAGCATTTCTTCTAGCATCTTTTTGCCTACTACTAGCTTTTGGGGACTGGAGAATATCTGCACAATTACTATTGCCCACTAATGAGTCTTTTATAGGAGAAACTAGCACAAATAGGGGCTCAACCTGGTTTTCTATGGAGGGACTCTTTTTTTGTATGGCTGCTTATTTTTCTGGAGGGGAGCATTTACCTGTCTGATTGCTTGACCCTATATCTTTAAGCTAGTCTTATAAACAAATTCACACGCCCACCAGCCCATGAAATCTAGGTTATAGCAATCACCTAAGAACCTATGTGCTTATTTCTGACTTGCTCATGCCTCTGCCCAATTCCTGTCTTGTGTTTGGCTCTTGGCTCTCTCATTTCATATTTCTCCTTCCCCACTCTACTCCCAAAGCATGTAAGCATGCGTACACACACACACACACACACACACACACACACACACCAGTTTCTTTTAGACTGAGTATGTGTCTGCTCTCTGGTTCCCAACTACACAGCCTCATCCAAAAGGACTCTGCTGGCTAGAACTGGACCTACCTCATATAGTGTGCCTCATTTGGTGTAGCCCTGCCTTAACTGGACCTTCAAGACCCAATCTTTTGTCTCAGCCCATGGGTAATCACCATGGCCGGCCCATCTGATCTTCCTGTGAAAGGACAGTTTGGGCAAGACCCTACCCAAGGGCCTTGCAGAGTTTTCAGTTCTGCAGCTTTGGGAGTCTACAAGGTCTCCATTTTTGTCTTGTCTCCCTTTACTATTATTTTCTAGTCATTCTATGGGGGTTGGCAAATAGCCAACCAATGTTTATAGGGCCTTATGACATATGCTCACAGTCAGGCTGTGTGTCCATCCAGATTTTCAAGAGTTAATAAATTTTATTTGGATTAGTGATCCATATTGAACCTTCCATTCTTTAATTATTCAACAAATGTTTATTAAATGCCTACTAAATGCAAGATGTTATACTAGACACTGGGAATAGAGTGGTGCACAGGACAATCACAGTTCCTTGTGTTATGGAACTTATATCCAGGGAGGCAAGACAGACAATAAACAAGGAAAACACAAATTAATAAGAACACTAAAACAAACAAACAAATACTAGATAAACAAAAACAAGATTTTCAAATAGGGATATGATGGGGGGCTGATGTAATAGAAGTTTGGGGGAACATCAGAATGTTCTAGAAGGCCTCTCAGGAAGTAACATTTGAGCGAGAATTGAATAAGAAAGATCCAGCCATATGAAGTGCTGAGGGAATAGCTATGTAGGCTATGGGAAAAACCAATACAAAAGCCCTAAGGTGAGAATAAGCTTGTCATGTTTGAGGCAGGTGTGACTAGAGCATGTTGAGGGAGGAGGGGACAATTGAGATAAGGACAGAAAGGTCAGCTGTGGGGAAGAGGGGAAACCCTAAATTTTTTATTTTCCGTATAGCGGGAAGCCATTAGGGGTTTTAGGCTGTGGAGTGATACATTTGGTTTATGTTTTAAAAGATCACTGCATCTGTGGAACAGAGAAGAGGTTGGAGGGGAGCAATCTGGTCAGCTTAGTTGTTCAAGGCGGCATGGAATTCACCTTTGTGCTGCAGAGGCTGCAGCTGACGCTTGTGCTCTCCCTAGGATAATTGCTTTCCTGCCTGGGTTGTTTTCAGAACCTCCCAGTTCTAAACATTTAATCTGTGTTCTGGCTTAATCAAGAAGCAACACTATCCGAGTGCCAGGCTTGGCACAGAAAATGTGGGCATCGTGCCTTTTGTTGAGCACCCTGGCCTGAAGAGAATGAAGCAGGCAGCCCCTGGTGGACCCGAGGACAATGCAACTGACCCTCAGCACCTGGTAACTTGTAGGAAGCTTTGGAATCCATAAATTTTATGTGCTTCTGCAAAACAGTTGCAGATGGTCTGGACTGATGATTAAATATCACTGCTGTTTTGTCCAGATCTGCTGTGGCCATCCTCTTCATGCCTGGTTTTACATTACAGTGGGTAATTAAAGGGCACAGCCATTTCTGGTTACTTCCAGGATATCTTTTTCACTTGGCTTAGGGAGTAATTTCAGTTTTTGCCAATTGTATAAGTGACAGCAGTGAGCAGTGGCTGTGACTGGCTACTTTTTGTTTTCAAAATTAAAAAAAAAAACGACTTAAAAAGAACTTTCCCTAATGAAAGGGAATAATTGCCTGCCTGCCTTTGCTGTCTCTGCTGATTCTCCAGTGGGAGTTCTACCATCAGACTTGTCAGAGTTGGTTGGCAGAGACTTTCTCTCCTGAGTTAGCACATAGAGATCTGAGCTGGCAGAGAGAACACAAATTAGCAATGGTACAAGCATATCTGCAGAGGAACAGCTTTCCTTCTTACCAGAGGTGCCATTGGTGGGCAGCACCCTAATTCTCGATGCATCTCTTACCACAGGACTTTTCAGCAAATTAAAAGAATTGTTTAAGCAACACCTGAGTTGGGCAGTTTCAGAAGCCCTCAGGCTGCTCAGCCTGCCAATGTAAAGTCACTGAATATTGTCTCTCTGACTTCTACTGGGGATCCTTACACCTCACTCAGCATAATGAATTTGGGGAAACAGAAATTCTGAATCTTTTACCTCTCTCTCTCTCTCTCTTTTTTTTTTTTCCAAAGATTTCTTTTTTCACCCCCACAGAACTTAAAAGGACACAGAAGGCTCAATGGGGAGAATGAAAAAAGAGATGGTGTCTGCCTTCTGGCTGACATGACTTGTGCCCTGATCGCATGGGGATTCCATAATGAAGATTGCAATGTCCTATAATTACAAGATTAAACATTTTGTTTAAATTAATAATTTCCCCTCACCCTCTCTGTGTGCTTAAAACCACCATTAGAGCTAGATGGAAACTGGTTAACTGGTCTGATATTCAACTTTATGTTCTAGTTGTGATTGTCAGTAAGAGGTGAAGTCTCATTTTAATTAAAAAAACAATTTTTAGCCATGGTTCACATTGTGTGAAGCAGAGGCACTTCTGACCATGTGAATTGTTGATTGCTGAGTGCAGTGAATATAGCTTTTTTCAGGACCATGACACTGAGCCCAACAGGATAATATTGGGAGTTAGGTGTGCAGCTGGGCTTGAAAGATTGCTTGTGCAGTAATGGCAGATTTGCCTTTAATTGACAGATTGTCTTTGTTTGTGGGAGAAGGGGGTTACTTATAGGGATGGTATATTCCTGATTTGAAATGAATGAAAGGCAGCTCATAGAGTAGCTTATAGAAATTGTCATATTTTAAAATGAAATAAAATAATATGTGTATTCTCCTCCCTATGTCACCCAGCCAAAAAGAACAAAACCAACGGCTGGGAACTACCAGGTATTGAAGCCCACTGAAAGCCGGGTATTGTGCTTTTTTATTTGTATGATATTCTCTCATCCTAAAGGTAACCCTGGGAAGCCAGTGTTCTTAATCCCATTTTATAGAAGAGGAAAGGAAGTTCACAGAGGTTTAATAACTTGCCCAGAGATTCTAGGAAGTAGATGGTAGAATCTTTTTCCTAATAGGGGACTCAGGTGGCTGGAGGTAGCTAAAAAGAGAAATAACCTAGAGTAGAATGCAGCAGAAGGCTACCATTACCCTACCTTGAACTTGTCTCAGTCTACCATGTATATCATTCTTGTCCAGCAGAACACCATGCACTGGTTATCATACCCATGGGACCAGAATACTGGGTATTAGTTACCAATCCCAGGGGAGGACTCTAAACACTTCTGCCCATTGCATCTTGGTATTGGAATTGCCAAGGAAAACACAACATGGTCAAGCACTGGATGGAATAGTACTTGACTCACATAGAGAAGAGATATAGCAAAATCAGCTTCAGTGTTGTGCAGTGGTCCCTTGTGGCTAACTCCCGTTCCTCCCCCCTGCAGCCATTTGGCCTGCATAAACCACCCGCTCTCGCAGCAGAAGGATCTGGACCTCAGAGGTAGTGGTATGCCCGAGGGTCATTGACATACATGCTTAAGCAGAACAAAGGAACAGGAACACTCCTTGCACCTGAAACAGGGAAAGATATTCCCAAACAAGGTGATAAGCCTGGCACAGCCTGTATGAACTACTTATTTCTTGGTAAGGAAGTATTCCAGGCCCCAGGATCATCTTATGGGGTTGAGTGGGCCTTTGAAATACTGCATGACATGAGACTGCCTTTCCCAACAATTCTTTATTGGAATTATTTGATTAAATATCTTTCTTCCCAGTGGACTTTATGTTCCTCAAGGGCAGTGATCAGATCAGTGCCTGCTATACAGTAAATACTGAATAAATGTCTCTTGACCAAAGAAAGGAAAGAATGAGGGATGAAAGAATAAAGCAGTGAATCAGTGATCAGGTGGTGAATTAGGTCTCTTCTAGGTATCTTATTATATTGAGACTTAGCACCTCTGCCTTCTCTTTCTTACCTCTTCTTTCTTCATGCGGAGTAGATTAAACTGTGTTTGTGAATGATAATGGCCCTAGTCATAGGAAACACTGGGTTGGGTGAAACTTGTCTGACATAACAGAAGATGATCCTCATAAAAGCTTAGTTCCAATACTGTAGTAACCTGAGCATTGATTGGCTTTTTTTTTTTTTTTTTTTAAAGACTGAGTTGGTTGTCTCTGACTCCAAAGCAAAAGATTGATTCATTTATTTGCCAAAGATTTACTGCAAGTTTACTGTGGGCCCTAATTGCTGTTTTCTCTTTACCCAGCCTTATAGGCAAAAAATAAGAGCTAATACAAACAACAAGATAAGTTTTTATTTTGTGTTGTTTGTATCTGGCATGTCCATTTCTATTTGATATATTTTTTTATTATTTATTAAGTACTTTTTCTGGGTTAGGCACTTCACCAAGAGGGCTTTTCCAAACCATGAGACAATGGTTTGCTCAAGGTCACATAGTGCATTAGTAACAGACTTAGGTCTCTGAGTACAAAAGTCCATTTTCTTCTCACTGTACTGCGCTCCCCTGTTGATGGGACTGGCTTAGCATCATTTTCTTTTATTATTTTAAATATATATTTTTATTGATTTGAGAGAGGCAGAAACATCGATGATGAAAGAGAATCATCAGGTCGGCTGCCTCCTGAGCCTGCATGTGCCCTGACGGGGAATCAAACCGCGACCTCCTGATTCATAGGTCGCCACTCGACCACTGAGCCACACCGGCCAGGCTAGCATCATTTTCTTATGTGCTTTGTGTTTTTTATAGACTGGGACACACATCGGTTTCTAAAAAGGAAAGTAATAGCCCTAGCTGGTTTGGCTCAATGGATTGAGCGTTGGCCTGCAGACTGAAGGGTCCCAGGTTCAATTCCAGTCAAGGGCACATGCCTAGGTTGCGGGCTCGATCCCCAGTAGGGGGCATGCAGGAGCCAGCCGATCAATGATTCTCTCTCATCATTGATGTTTCTATCTCTCTCTTCTCCCTTCCTCTCTCTGAAATTAATAAAAAAATATTTTAAAAAATAAAAAGGAAAGTAATAGAGCTGCTAAAAGTTTTCTTAAGTTTAAGTAGCTTTGGGAAACAGATCTGTAGTAAGGACAGAAACCAGTTAAGGCAGGATGATTTCCCAGTCACATGGTGGTAGTGTGATGTAGGGGAAAGAGCCAGAGCTTTAGGCTTAGACCAGTGGTTCTCAACCTTGGCTGCACATTAGAATCACCTGGGAATCTTTTTAAAATCCTGATTTCTGGGTTTAAAAAGATTCCCAGGTGATTCTCATGTGCAGCCAAGGTTGAGAACCACTGGCTTAGACTGACTAGCAGTGTTTCCACCGCCACTATTTTCTAGCTCTTTGACCTTTTGACAATTTGCTAAGAAGCCACCTGAGCCTTGATTTCCTCACTTGAAGAAAAAGGGAATGGAATTAGCAGATTAAAAAGATAATGAAATGTTAAATTACTGGCACATAATAACCACACAGTTAATGATGATTGTTACCATGTAGCTTGGATAACCACTTGGTAAGGAAGCTGTAGGAGGAATTCTTCATGCTTTCTTTAAACCCTGTGATTCTCTGACCTCAGTGCCTCCCAAGAAGCTCTTTGTGAGATTTCTATATGACGTTGCCTATTGAGGCCCATCCTGGCTTGCTTATGCAGCATGGTTTAGAAAGAGGTGGCTGGCAGAATTCCCTCCTGTACAGGTTTTTCAGCCAGTGCATCTCTATGTTTTTTGGTATGTTTACCAGGATTCTGAAGTTTCTGAGTATTTTCAGTCTGAGACAAGTGAGTAGGATTGATGTCAGGCTGCTTTAACACAGGTGTTATAAACAAGATTAAGAGGTTGTTGAAAAGATATCAGTGGAGCTCTGGGGCTAGCTTTCTGGAGTCATTCTAAATTGACAGCTAATGGGTAGTCTGCCTTGATGGCTCTCTCTGAGTTGGTAACTGACTGGAGATTCACCCACAGAGGAAGCCTGCTTATGAAAATTCACTTTCCTTTCCTTTATCAGAAAGTAAAGCTATCATAACATGTAATAATGTTTTTGCATCATGTAAAAAACAGTTGCCATTGCACTATTTTAAGATGCCTTTGTTTAAGGTAGCCAATTCTTAAGATTTTTTTTTCTTTGATCACACAAGCCCACCAGGCTTCCAAGAAATCTTTAAAAGGGGGGAAGATGGTTCAAGGCAATTAATTAATTAATTAATTTATTTATTTATTTAAGATGCTTATTTAATTATCTTAACCTTTGGTAGAGTTTCTTCCAGTCCAGCATGATAAATGTTTTGCCTTATCTGGTCTACTAGATGCTGTTGCTAGGAAATTGAGTATCCTTAAATGTTCTTAAAGTGAACAGTTATTTGTTTAAAATCACTTTTAAGCCAGTTTTATAGCCTTCCTGACAGAGCATTGTAATAGTGGGGATAGAGCTTGTAGGGGGAATTTGTAGGTGGGCCAGAGGCATTTACCTAGGCTATCAGAGAATTCCTTTTGATCATACTCCATGTGGTCAGTGGTCCAAGTTCTGTTTGCTGTGTGGAGGAAATATTTCTGACTCTAAGAATAATTCATTCTTCATCCTTATCTTTATTGGGAATGGAGATATTTTGCTAACTTTAGGGTTTATAAAGCTTCCAGAAATAGTAAAACCTTTGAGTTGAGGGTAATAAAGTGCATTTTAGACAAAAGCAGACTTGAAACCATCTCTTTTCATTGTTTTTGATGGGCTCATCAACAGGCATGTATTGAGGCCATAACACCAGATACTTTAGTCAAGCTGAGAGATAGGTAAATCAGGACTCAAGTGCAGGAAAGTATCTCATAATGTCATGCTTTGTTTTCAGACTCTAGAGTGTTATCCATAATGTTGAAAAATATTCTTTTTAACAAGATACTCAAGGTAAAGTTTCATGTGAGTTGTCTTCCTTGAAATAAATGTGGCAGCTATTTTGTAACAGACTTATGAGAATAAGTTTTAAGCTTTAAAAGAAATAAGGGTAATAGTTAATGTCCTCCTAGGCTCCTGAGATCAAAACCATGTCGTTACCATTAAAGAATTGAGTAATTGTGGAAGACCTAAATTTTGTAAATGAATAAAATGATTAATGTCTCATTTATGATCTGGCTCTCACTTATTCAGCCCCAGATCACTCATTCTCTCTTCCCATTTTTTCAAAGGATTTTCATTTTTCTCTTTTACTTCCTATCTGTCTTCCTGCTAGTATGCACCCTTTACCCCATCCACTCCTCTCAAAGAGGAATGCAGTTTTGAATCTTGGTGATGACCTCAGAGGCAACTTATAGAAAAAGTAATTAAAGATTTCCTTGCCCCACTTTAGCCTTAATGAAATCGTCCATTG